CAAAACCGTCATGAGTACAACTTGTGACGTTTCATGGCGTTTAGTGGGGTTCACAAGACGACACATGACGTTTCATGACGTTGGGACTTTCGGAAAAATCTATCCAGACACTAAAAGTTTCATGAGTGATTGAACAAAAATACATAGGAAATCTGGCCAGACGATAAAGGTTTCATGCTTACCTCTACAGACATTACAACAAATTTGTCTCTCCAGACATCTGTCTATCCAGACACCAATGGTGACACACACACACACACACACAAACAAAACCCCAACGGGTTTAAGGGTTGAGGGTTCGGGGTCGAGGGTTTAGGGGTTTGAGGGTTTAGGTTTGGGGTTTCAGGGGTTATTTGTTTGATGAGCACACACACACACAATGCCTTGTCCAGGCACCGCACACAAGCAAGCTTGCCTATCCAGGCATAACAACTTGCCTATCCAGGCAACAACTTGCCTATCCAGGCACAACAACTTGCCTATCCAGGCACAACAACTTGCCTATCCAGGCACAACAACTTGCCTATCCAGGCACAACAACTTGCCTATCCAGGCACAACAACTTGCCTATCCAGGCACAACAACTTGCCTATCCAGGCACAACAACTTGCCTATCCAGGCACAACAACTTGCCTATCCAGGCACAACAGATTCTTGCCTATCCAGGCATGTGCAACAGCTTGCCTATCCAGGCATGCACAAAAAATGGTGCATGCACCACCTGCCTGTCCAGGCATTCAAAGCACACACACACTCTCCCTCTCTTTTTCTCGCGGGACTCCACCCCTCGTTGTGCCATTCGGCGATCCCTTCATGCGATTTCGCATGAGGATGCAAAAGAGGCTACTCTACGGAGGCTCGGCACCTTTCAGTCATCAACATCTTTAGGATCTACATTCATCAACATCACAGCTGCTAGAAACTCCACAAAACAACACTCCTCAACATCTGCATTCATCTAGCTATCATCATCTCCTAGGTGCCTTGAGAGCCTTTTCAAAGGCCGTTGTGGCCTTTGAAGCCAAAGCAACGGTGCAAAACTCTCCAAAGGTCTTTGGCTTTTTTCTGACCTCTGAAGCCCTTGCAGGATCTTACCATGCAACCTTCAACACCTGGTCTCATGTCTGACCCTCTGTGAACAAAAGACATCTTGCTGCACTCCTTACACACCTTGAAAAAGCTTGCATGGTCCTTAAAGAAATCATCGCTGGCATTGCCATCGTAGTCCTCAAACTCAGCCAGCTTCTCCTCCTTCTGCCCCGCCCATGGGTCGTTCTCAGCGTCCTCCCACGGATCCTTCAGGGTGTAGGGTTCAGGGTTTAGGTTTCAGGGTTTAGGTTTCAGGGTGTAGGGTTCAGGGTTTTGGTTTCAGGGTTTAGGTTTCAGGGTTTTGGTTTCAGGGTTTAGGTTTCAGGGTGTAGGGTTCAGAGTTATGGGTTCAGGTTTCAAGGCTTAGGTTTCAGGGTGTGGGGTTCAGGGCTTAAGGTTCAGGGTCTAGGGTTTCGGCGTTTTTACTGGGTTAAGGTTTGGGTACATTGGTGTCTCTCCAGACACACACTTGTCTCTCCAGACATTTTTTCGGCGGGGTCAGGGTCCTGGGTCCTCGGGGTCATCCTGGTTCTTCTTCTGCTTCTTTCCTTCTGGGCCATCCTTGGCGCTTTAGGGGGGTTCGCACAAAAATTGTCTATCCAGACAATGAAGCCACTTGTCTTTCCAGACATTATATTTCCAAACAAACACAACAATTAACCATCTAAAACAAAGGCTCCTGGTCCTTCTGCGGCGGCGGTGGCGGCGGGGGATCCTTCTTGTCGTCCTTCTTGTGCGGGGCATCCTGCAGGGTTTAACTCATGTACTATATGTCTTTCCAGACACTACATTCTGTATATAAACACAAAAACAATATAAAGCCCAGGCTCCTTCTCGCCGGTCTGATCCCCCTGCCAGTCCTCATCCCGGTACGACGATCCTCCCCACTGCGAGCCTCCCCAGGACCACCAGTCCCAGCCCTGGTTCCAGGACCACGTCTCATCACCATCATCTCCATCTCCCTGGCCACCACCTCGATCACCATCTCCACCATGGCCACCATGCGTACCATCTCCACTTCCCTTGCCACCATCTCCACCATGGCCACCATGCGTACCATCTCCACCTCCCTTGCCGCCATCATGGCCACCATCATCTCCACCTCCTCGGTGATCCACGTCTCCACTTCCTCTCCCAGGTGTGCTCGGTCCTCCGAAAAAGACTTTTGGGCTTTAGGGTTTAAGGTTCTCTATGGTTTTTCTGTTACGGTGTTCAGGGCCGGGGTTTCGGGCTTAATGGGGTTGTAAGAGCTCAAGGGGATAGGATTTCAAAATTGTCATCAGCTAGGGTCCTTGGGGGCCATCATCATCTTCTTCTTCTGCAACCACCCTCTTGGCGAGGTAGTGCATGAACTGGTCGTAGGTCTTGAGGGTGGAGACACTGACAGGGATTCAGGGTTTAGGGTTCAGGGTTCAGGGTTTTGGGTTCGGGGTTTAGGTTTCAGGGTGTAGGGTTCAGGGTGTTGGGTTTAGGGTCTAGGGTTTCGGCGCTTTTACTGGGTTTCAGGGTCTTGGTTCTCACGTGTCTCTCCAGACACTCAAACTGTCTGTCCAGACATTCTCTATGCAGCTGAGGAGCTCAAAAACTCTCCTCAAAAAGGGCCGGTGGGCCTCGTTGCTTCCCGGCTCCATCCTCGACACCTTTCTCGCCATCGCCTCGATGAGGCCCATGAACTGCCTCAGCTTTGTCATGGCTGTGTCTCTCCAGACACGAAAGCTACACCTATCTGTGTCTCTCCAGACCTAGACACTGGGAAAGCTACACCTAGGGCTTCACGGTTCTCGTGTCTATCCAGACACTAAAATAATTAATGCCAAGGGTCTCGAAGTTGATGTCAGGGGAGTATTCCATCCAGATCATCCGCCAGTTCTCTCGCCAAAGTCTGCTGCTCGTGCCGCTGTTCCTCAGCTGCAGGGTTTATATATGGGTTTGGGGGTTTAGCAGGGTTTAGGGGTTTAGGGGTACTTAAAGTTCTGCGAAGTTTCTCTGCCCGGATATTCGGGACATCATCCTTCGTCTTGCCCTTGCCGATGTCGCGGTCACGTCCCTGTCAATCCAGACACTCGATCATCTCATGTGTCTGTCCAGACACGTGCTGCATGTCTGTCCAGACATTCAAAACAACAAGCAGGAGCCTTCCGGTCGCCCTTGTGGTCGCCTTTCTGGCCGCCCTTGTAGCCGCCCTTCTCCATGGCAGCACGGTTGGGCTTCAGGGCGGGGCTCGATGGATCTCGAGCCGGAATATCACATATTCCAAGTCATATTGTCATGCCAGCACGTGCTTCCATTCATGTCTGTCCAGACATTCTGCGATGCATTTAGTGTCTTTCCAGACAAGCAAACTTGAAGTGTCTCTCCAGACACTGCAACTTGAAAGTGTCTCTCCAGACACTGAAACTTGAAAGTGTCTCTCCAGACACTGAAACTTGAAAGTGTCTCTCCAGACACTCAAACTTGAAAGTGTCTCTCCAGACACTCAAACTTGAAGTGTCTGTCCAGACACTGAAACTTGAAGTGTCTGTCCAGACATTCAAACTTGATGTGTCTCTCCAGACACTGAAACTTGAAAGTGTCTGTCCAGACACTGCAACTTCAAAGTGTCTGTCCAGACATTGGAACCTGAAGTGTCTGTCCAGACACTGAAACTTGAAGTGTCTGTCCAGACAATGAAACTCGAAGTGTCTGTCCAGACATCACAGCAATCAAATCAAACCTATGAAAAAGAACCAGTCACTGCCACAGCACTGCACCAAAACCTCTCTTTTCACACCGCAGCGATCAGCGTCCTACAACTTCGCTTTGGCCGCCAGCACCTCCTTCAAGTCCGTGCCAGCCTGGAGCATCTTGATGAGCTTGGTCGCCTGGATCTTGTTCTTCGCTTCGGAGAACTTGGAGATCTGAAACAGCTGTCGCCCTCCTCTGACACGGACTGCCCAGCGACCTTCCTTGTAAGGCATGAGGATCACATCCTTGAAGACTCCGGAGTGGATTCTCGGCGGCATCTTTCTTGCGGCGGCGGGCTTTTTCAAGACTTTCTTTTCTTTCTGCTTTGCCTTCTCCTCCGTCTCGTCTTTGCACTTCTTTTTCTCCTGCTTCACCAGCGTTTTGATACTTTTCTTTCTCGAAGGGATAGGCGACACAGCTTCTGCCTCTTCTCTGAGCTTGTCCTTCTTCTTGTCCTTCTTCGGGGTGAGCGGCACCTCCAAGTCCAGGAGCTCCGCTGTGTCCATGCTGTCGTCCGAGGCCATGTCCGGTGCAGCAGCAAGCTTCTGCAGAGTCTCCTCATCCGAAGATGTGGCCTTCGCCTTCTTCACCTTCTTCACCTTCGTGTCCTCTGAGGATCCCTGTGCTCGCTGTTTTGCTTTCTCTTTCTTCAAGACCTTCTTGACCTTCTTCAGCTTCTTGTTGCCAGACTTCACGGTGTACTTCTTGTCCTCGTACTCGCCGTACTCGAGGGCACCGTTTTCTATCATCTGCTTGATCGACGTCAGCTTCTGCACCTGCGAGTTAGTCAAGTTCTTCGAGGCCTCCTGGAACCGCTTCTCATCTCGCAACCTCCTGGCATGGCTGCAAAGCGTCATGGTCCAGTCGGCGTACTTCCCAGCCAAGTGCGGCCCCACTGCCACAGGGTGCGAGCTCTTCAGTGCCGGGAAGTTCTGGAGGAGCTTCTGGTACGTGGCCTTGAGATCTGCGTACTTGAAGATCAAGAGCGGCTGGCAGTTCACCAAGGCATCGAGCAGGCTCTCCAGCTGGGCCATGTCTGCACCACTGCATGCCTGGGTTCGCCGCAGTGTCTGGTACCCGTGGAAGCTCAGGTGCTCCTGCTCCCTCACGAGCTTCGCCAGCTTGTCGTAGAGGTGCTCCAGGTCGGTGTCCGGGGTCGCCGGTCTTCTGGCGCCTCCCTTGCCCATGGCTCAGAAGTCCTATAGGTTCTAAAGTGTAGAGGGCGCCTCTACTCTACTTTTCTCGAAGCTTCAAAAACTTGCAGGGTCCATTTACATGCTTTCATTGCTGTGCAACTCGTGTCTGTCCAGACATTCTTTCTGTCGTCAACATACTGATCCTTTCCAGACACGAAAGCCACACAGCTGCACGACACGTGCAAATAATGTTTTTACATTTGAGCTTCTATCACCATGCATCGATGCTCTCTTGGCACCCGATTGCTTCTAGACAACAAAACTTTCAAAGCTCTGCACCCTCACTGGCTGTTCTCTGGCTCTTGGCTGTTCTCCGGCTCTTCGTTCTGGTCCAGCACATCCAGGCCTCCCATCACCTCGGTTTCAGCCTCCACGTCGGTCTCCATCTCGTCCGGGTTCTGGATCGGCGGTGCCAGCTGCGACAGCACGGCGGCCAAGTCCGTTGCGAACTGCACGAAAGTTCGCAGATTCGCGATCTGCAAAGCTCGAGCCCTGGCCTTCTTTCTCTCGGCAGCAGGGGGCGTCTCGAGCTCCTGTGCTCCTCGCTTCTTGTTCCTCGGAGGAGTCTCCATGGCGAGCTTTCGTGCCGAGGTGCTAGAGCTTGAGCCTATACTAATACATATATTTCACACATGTAGCTCACATCTTCTCCAAACACTGCATCCTGATTCTGCCTTTCCAGGCACCGAATCTATAGATTTCTTGTCTTTCCAGACAGAACAATAACACCCTGCCTTTCCAGGCGAATCTATAGATTTCTTGTCTCTCCAGACAGAACAATAACATCCTGCCTTTCCAGGCACCGAATCTATAGATTTCTTGTCTCTCCAGACAGAACAATAACATCCTGCCTTTCCAGGCTCTTATAAACCTGCCATATATATATATATATATATATATACATATATATATATATATACATATATATATATATATAGAGGACATTTTTGGTCGCCTGTAAAATCAATAGAAATTTTCTTGGCTAGCATAAAAATCAATAGAAAAATCAAGCGTGGAACCAATAGAAAAATCAATCGCGGAAGTGGGTTAAAATCAATAGATCCTCATTTTCCCGATATTGATTTTCAGCTCGAAAAGTCTGTTTTCAATAGAAGATTGAAAAGACTTAAAAATCAATAGATCGATTGATTTGAACCTATATCGGAGCATATGGGTACAGGTATCCTGGGTTTTCGTTTGGTGCAATAGAACCTGACACGGACCCGGCGTTCGTTGCAGAGGACACAAGGCTTCTGCCGTCGCAGCTTTCCAAGCTGCAGGAAGCTGTAGGCACGATTGTTTTCTGTAGGTGGCTCGTCAACCGCATGTAGATTTGTGGGTGATGTAACGTGGCCTTCGCTGGCGCCACTTGGTGGGTTCAGACACTACACTTGACTATGTTGTAGGGAATGCTGGGTCGTGTTATGCAAGCTTGCTGCACGTTGCTAGAGAAATCCACTTTTTTGTTGCAACAACAATAATACCGGGCAAATGAGCCATAAACTCCCAGGCTGCCAGGCAGGGTGTGACACGCCTTCGGACAGCACACACGTTTGTTGCAAGTTTGCCACATTCTTTGCCCAAGCTGCGGTGTGTTGCCACGGCTTATGGAGTTTCCTCTCTAAGCTCATCCATCTGTTTATTTACCTACCTACTATCTATATCTGTCTAGCTACCTATCTATTCATCTATTTCCTCTCCCTTGCTCATTCTGTCGTCTCCCGCTTGTGAGAGCAACCGTGCTGGCATTTTCAGTACCGATTGTTGTATTGCAGTAGGCAATATCTGCGCCAGGTTCTCTATCAGCCTCAAACTTTGAGCAATGTTGCAGACAAAGAACAAGTGCGCACAAGACGTTTCAATATTTGGTGCTGGCCTTGTCTTGCACGTCTGTCTGTTTCAGCTCTTAGGCTTAGTTGTGCCTGTCGTCTCCTCTCTTGGCCTCATTTGCGCGCATGAAGCGATGCTTTGTCAGCTCTGTCGTTGGCAGGCTCCGTCAAGGTGCCCGTTCAGCAGGCCTACCAAATCGGCATGAGGTTGTCTAACCCTCCGTACTTGCAGATAAGCGCATCTGGCTGAGACAGCAGGATGTGGCTCTCGAGTATTTTAAAACAGTCAAGCTGGACCGGCAGATCGTGCAACTTGCCTTGGAGTCAGCTCTACCGAACCAGCTTCGAATTGAAGCTGTTGTGAGATTGAAGCCAAGGATCAAGCGCAATTGTGTTGAAGGACGGCTTGAGAGGACAGCAACTTGCAACTCACACGGCATGCCGTCAGAACAGCTTTTGAAGTCGAGGTCCCTGCATGCGTAAGCATGACATGTTGGTGAACTTCAGAGCAACCTTGGCTTTTCTAGCACCTTCAGAAGGTAGCATGAAGCACTACAAACCCTCAGAATCTTCCATGCTTCAATGTTTAGCCACTTGCAAACCTTCGGCCAATGAGGTTCACATTAAGTGTTTTTAGGAGCCTTAGGAATACCACAGTTACCCACGCAGCATCAAATTGACTATCTGCAGTCTATCTGCATTGTTGTTGTGCAGCAACTGGTTCCAGGAAATCTCCTTCCAAACTCCAAATCCAAAATCATGATTCTCAAAATGAACCGCGGAGCTTTCCTTCCGACCAGAGCAGTGTTTCAGGGTCAGTTGGAGGTTTATGCGTAAAACTCGGTCCGTCGTGATTGCCAGGCTGCTGGGCTTGTTGGGCATGCATTCCAAACAGCATCCGCGGTGGGCATCAGGGCCCTTCTAAACTTGTCAGATCTAGGCATGCCAGGTCAGACTGGTCAGACAAGTTACGGAGACGTCACAAACAGGCAGCGCCTACTATACTTCAGAATCACCGTCGGCCCCCGCCGTTCACATGCGAGAAGCAAGTTGGAAGGAGCCAGAGACACCAACATTCCCAACAAGCAAAGCAAGGGTCATTAGCAGCAGCTTCGTCGATGAGTTCGGGTGCCTTCACGAGCCTCTGGTGTGGGGGCAGCTTCCAGAAGGCATCTAATTTTGGAAGCTTGTCGGAGGGAAGACAAGAAGTGATGCGAGTGCTGATCGTGAAGGGCCACGGCTGCAAATCTGCGTGGAAAGAGCCTTTCCATCATCTTCCGTTTCTGATGAAAGACCAGTGGAGACATGGAGCAGGTCGTAGAACTGGATTTCAAAACTTCTTTTCAGAAGAAAGACGTGAACGACTAGTTTGTGGGCATGCGGGTGAAAATCCATCCCTGTCCCCTTCGTCCCTTCCGTATCGTGTTGCAACGGGACATGTTCACGTAAGATAGGGGACAAATCATGTCTGCCCCATGTCTCATGTGATATCCGGATGGAGTACTGCTGTATTTGTTGAGCTGCAGTTACGTCAGCGGCGTAAGTAAACTCCTGGTTAGCTGCGTATAGCATGCCTGTGCAGAACCAGACCGAAGCTAGGCTACAGCAGAGATTGGCGCAGTTGACATTACCAGGAGTGGCCACTTGCTAATTCGTGGGCCTCCAGCCTACCGCGTACAGCCCAATGTTGTTGACCGCTGCTACCTGTCTATGAGTGACGGTGCAATGCCAACTGCGCCACTCAGCTGCAGAGCCGTTGTTCTTTCGTTTTTGTGATTACTGTCTACTGTTGTGCGAAGGCAGCTGCCGCAGAAAAAGTCTGAGGCCAATCGAGGGTTGGACTTGGTACCAGTCAATGGACCCGCGGTTGACGGCTTTTTGGCGCAATTAGTCGGGGCCTGCCTTCGTAAGGCTTCGCCACGATTGAGTTGGAAAGGGGCGTAGCAGTGTAGCGCGTTGCGTGGCTTTGTTTTTGATTAAAGATCAAGCCATCAAGAAAGGCTCCTGTCACGGCGGAGGATGTTGCCAATCTTGGTGTGCAATTAGTCGCGCCTGAGAGCTTCACCCCCCCGGTGTTGGATATCCAGCAACCTGCATGCATTCGGCTTGGGGTTTGTCCCTGGCTTCACGGTCAAAGCTACTGGCCTTGCGCGCATTGCTTGGCATTTCTGCGTGCTCCAGGCCCGGCAAATGCTGGATTGTCCGCATCTTTGGGTCCCTGGAGATCTACATAATTGATAACCTCGAGGGATACGAAGAGAGCGCGGACTTCGGTTCCAGAGCTTTGGCTGATCATAGGTGGCTTTGTGACTTATCTCTGTAAAAAAATACAACAAGGCGGGCTTGTTGAGGCAGGCCGACCATGGTGCATCCCAAGGCGAGCTCGACGAATTGTGGAACAAGAGGGCTGGCGGAGGCCAGGCAAGCTGGACACTTGCAAAACGCATGTCTCGTACTTGCCTGCGCTGGGTAAATTTTGGGTTCATCTCAGGCTCGAGTTCTCGGAGCCGCAGCCGTAGCCGAAGCCGAAGCCAAAACCGCTGAGCCTTCGGCTGATCAGCAGACAGCACAGCCCCGCCCATCAGTGGTTGATACTCCTCCTTAAAAACCCTGACTGCCGTTGGATCCTCTTAACCAGGCGAGGCTGTGGGGGGCGGATCTAGACTTTTGATGGGCAACAGCGAAATTGAGCCCAGGACCTTGTGCTGGATTCATTGGATGGTTTGCAGAAGGTGGTAAAATGGGCAACCTGACATGCATGAAGGTCCAAGGTTGCGGGTGTTCACCTTGCCTGTTTTGCATATTCCCAGAATGCGAGCCCACGATGAAGGCGACGTGCTTCTAGCAGCTCGGCAACCAAGAGTATGCACAGTGAGATCTGCACTGCACAGCTGGAAAATAGTACTCGTCACCTTCAAAATCATGTCAAGCTGCAGTCAGGCAGGCAAAAGGCAGTGATGTCAAGTAGTGCTTGGCCAGCTGAGGCTGAAATGGTTGCTCCTTCTGGAGCGCCACCGCCGTCCACTGCAAGAGTTGGCTGCGTGGTGGTGAGAGTGGATAGACAAGCGTCATTACATAAAGTCTGGACCTTTACTTATGATTTCCACGCCTTTTTTCCTTGTTACTATTCGTTGCTACATGTACTGGTGCTACTAACGTACT